CCTGAGGAGAGGTTTTTGGACTATTTTATCTTTCTCCCTTTCGATGGAGATATAAATGCTGCTTTGGGTTCCATAATCCTAGGGGGCTATGTTTACATAATGAAATACATCCTACCAAATCAGGAAACAGTGGATAGCAGGACTGACCTTAGTGAGCTGTCATCAAAGGCGAGGGAGGACCTGAGGGCATGCCCAAGGAGGAGAGGCAGAGAAGTACTTTTTAATTCCTTGTGACACATGAACCCCCATTCTCCTCTCTTCCTCCCTCTGTGGCTCTCCTTGCCCCCTTTTAACAGAAGGTGCAGAGAAGGGCATCAAAAGAAGGCTGGATTTTTTTAGAGGCAGCTTTCCAACTTTGCACATACAGAGGTAACAAGGTACAACAAAAATCATCCTCTCATCTGAAACAGCAGAAAGAACCTGTCAAAAGGACTAAATAGCTGCACATACTGATGCTCTCTGCAAGTTACCTATAAGTGTTTTGTTTTTTCTTATACTTGAAATAGCTTTTACAATATTATTTTGGTGGCTTTCTTTTCTCTCCTGATGGGCAATAGAAAAAGTGGATGATGAGATTTAAGGACACTTGAGGGGAGAAAAGAGAGGATATGGCATTGTCTTTTTTTTTTTTTTTTAACAGATTTAATCAAACTCCCATATGTTGAAATTGCTCCTCATATCACTGGTTTTACATGGACACAGAAACTAGGCACTTTAGAGGTGCACTTGCACGGCAGGCTGGGCCCCCTTTTTCTATATTTTATTTTACTTTTTTAGTATAGTGGTACTTAAAATCACTGGTTCACTTAAAAAAACAAACAATAAAATGTTAAACTCTACTAATGTACAAATAAGCTGAAAAGTTGCATTTTATGTGTATTTTTTGCCATAGCAGGTACTGTATTTCTCATGCTGGATTTCAAAAAATATATATATACACATATACGTATATATGTGCATATATATCAAAAACAAAAAAAACTGAAGGGTGGTGTTTTATTGGATTGTGACAGGTTGAGTAATAAGGAATTAAGTCGCCGTCATTTCATTAAAACTGAGAGATGATGTCATGCATATATGAGAGTTTCCTGAAGGGTTTTTTGGGCTTTTAAAAAACAGCTTATTTTTGTTTTTGTTTAGTTTTTTTATTTTATTTTATTTTGAAAAGATATGATTGTATTATGTGCAACTCAGTTGCTTACATTATAACTACAAAATATTTTTTGGGTTTCTGGAAAAAAAAGAAAACAGACTAATAAATGTGTTTGGCTGCTAAGCATTTACTATTGTGGTTTTTCCTGTTTTATTCTGCCAATTTAATTTGCTCGTTTGTTGAATGTTTATCCTTTTTCCTCTTCTCCCTGCCTCACACATAAAAGCTGTCTGAAATTCGACATTTGAATTTGGACCTCAGCTTTGCCTCTTGTCTCGTTATGTTTCTGTTGTCAGGGTTGCTGTCAGGCCAGTCAGTCAGTTTGTGCTGCTCGCTGCCTGCCTCTTAACCATGGCCTGCCATGTGCAAGGTTCAAATTCTCTAAAAGAAATTGATATTCTCTGCCTTTGCTGTTGTTTTGTTGAACTCTAATTTGCATTTGGTGTTAGAACACTAGGATAGAGGAGAAAGAATTCTGCCTGTCACTACTGCTGTACTCTGGGACAGTAACCAGCCAGCTAGCTTTGTCCTGAAAATGCCACAACTGTCACCTACATTGGGTTCTGCAGCACTGCAAGAGAAAAGCTGCAACCTTAACCCCTGGGCTTGTCTTTGCCCATATCCACCATTCTTTCTTGTTAGCTGCTTGAGAAGAAAATTATTACACATGTGATCATGAAACACTTCCACAATGGCAAAGAGGAAGAATGGATGGGTACTGATTTTTCTAATTCCTGGGTACTTGGGTATGATTGAATTCTCAGAAGGCTGTGTGAGACATAATTACAGTAAAAGACATACAAAAGTGCTCCCCCTTGTTTTGAACCCACCCCATCATTCTTGCCACGTTCTCAAGCAGTTGTAGAAGCCCTCTTTAGTGTCTTTAGTTGTGCTGTTCTAGCTGGCTCAATATCCTGAACTGATTCAAAATATTTATCTTTCATGGTCTTTTTTTACTTCAAGGAAGAGTCAGAAGTTGCAGGGTGCCAAATTCAGTGAATAAGGTGGATGAGGATATATCACAATGTTTTTACGTGCCAGAAACTGCCATAAATGGTTGATGAAGTGTAATAAAATATGGTGAATGTTTAAATCAATTTATTACACATTGCCATTATCCCTCTCATTCTACTTTGAGCACACTTACCATTCTTGACAATGTGACTTAACTGCAATGAGTTTTGATAAATTTAAACATTTACTGTTGTCTTTTGATCACCACCAACCCCCAGAGACAGCAGCAGATTCATTTCATCAGGAAGCTAAGACTCAGACTAATGTTATTAGCAATAACAGGTAACACAGGTTAAGTGCTTGCTACAAGCTGGGCACTATTCTAAGCATGCCACACATCAGTACTCATTTAACTACAACTCATCATCTGTGTCACTTGTAAACCATAATAGGAACCTAGATGACACTCAGAAGTTATGTCGGTGCAAGATGCAGCTGATGGTAGAACCTACTTTTAGCATGCATGAGGCCCCATGTTTTATCCCTAGCACCCCCCAAAAATTACATCAGAAGCCTGACCTAAAAACACCTGGACTTCTCAGAAAGGTTTAAGGAGGCCTGTTGTACAAACTGGTAGGCCCCATACCAGCCAGTTCTTTCATCATAAAAGAAGTGAACACTGGCAAATGTAGGTAAAAAGAAATGAATTACAAGTTGGAAAACACCATGAAAGCCTGCCTCTTCCAAATATGCACTCTGAAGAATAGAGAGCTGGGGATTTGGCTCAGTGGTTCCACTGCCTGTCTTGTAAGCCCAAGGTCCTGAGTTCGATACCTGGTACCCAAAAAAAAGAATTATCTGAGAAACTACAGTAAAGGTTTTTAGAAGCCACAAATGAAAATAGATATAAAAAATAGAAAACTTACTGAGTTAGCCCACAAAACAGTAAAACTCCAGTTGAGAGATGTTACCTTAGGTGACAGTAACAGCTACATGAAAGTGTCTGGATAGCCTTTGAAGACCAAGAACCAACGCTTCATGGACTTGTCTGGCGTGTACAAGGCATGGATCCCATCCCCAGCACTCCAGAACAAAGTAACCACTTTGGAGGAACTTTGCACTCAGAAGGTAAGCTTTGCGGTTGTGCAAGTAGATTCTCTGGGAGAAAAAGTTGGCTAACTCAGGGAAACACCCACCACTTCCTTTTGTAAAGGTGAGAGGAAGCAAGATAGGAAGAGATCAAGAGAGCAATCTAGAGCCTGGGGATTTAGCTCAGTGGTGCCACCACCTGCCTTGCAAGTGCAACATCCTGAGTTAGATCCCTGTTACACCACCACCACCACCACCCTCCACCAAAAAAAAGAGCAGTCTAGAGCTAGCCATGGTGGTGCACACCTGTTAACCCAGCACTGTGGGAGGCTGAGGCTTAGAGGATGGCAAGTTCAAACCCAGCCTGAGCAGTTGAGTAAGATGATCTTGAAATAGAGGCTGTGGATGTAGCTCACTGCAAAGGCCCTGGGGTTCAATCCCCAGTGCTGCAAAACAAACATCTAAGGTATTCTAGAATTGGCACTTTGGTCCAAATTCTAGTTGCTAAATGTGGACATCTGGAAACATGGGGTGAGAGGGTACAAGAGAGGAGGTGTGACAGTATGTAACATGACTATTGTGGGCTGACTTACCTTGCTAGGCTAGACTCCTTTAGGACAGTATACTATGTTAGATATGGCACTGGGTACCAAGTGATCAAGATAGACTTGACTTCTGTCTCCCGAGATGGCCATCAATGGGAAAGTTTTATCTGTAGGAAGCCAGGAGGTCCTTCAATATCTAAGGAAACAGGAAGTGTGAAGAAGAGATAACACTGCAGCCTGGTCCATAGGTTTTTGACTGAATCTGTGAATGAAAGAAGGAACAGAGGTGACAGGAAAAGAGATTGCCAAATGAGAGATCAGTAACAATGTTCTTGAAATACTTTGGTTATTGGGAAAGAGATGTTCACCTCATCAGGTAAGCTGGGAATTCAAATTGGAACCTGAGCGGTCTCATTTTATCAGACTCAAAAGCAGGTAAATTCAAAATGGCACAGTATGGATGCTGTAGCACATAGGGAAGGACCAATTTGGAACTGTTCTGAACCTGTTTCTGGATCCTCTCCCCTTCTCCAAGAGCACTGTGAAGACCCTCAGACTGCTGGTGGTGATAGCAAATGCCTGTAATTCCAGCACTCTTGGCTACTTAGTTTAGCAAGACCCTGTCTCTAGGAACTAGGGGTGTAGCTCAGTGTGAAGTCCCCCAGGTTCAATCTCCACAATAGGGGAAGGGGTGGGTTGGGAACAATCTTTCTCTGCCTTTGTCATCTACGTAATGGGGACCATAATAATGGCTAGCATTTGTTGAGCATTTATTTTGTGCCAAGTTTTACTTGTAACCCCTCATTTAATAGCATCAAACAAGCTAGGATTGTAAAAAGGATTAAATGAGTTCACCTGTATAAAGCACTTAACACCAGTTCCTGGTACCTAGGAAGAGCTCCCCATAACAATACTGGCTTTCATTATTATTGGCCACCCAAAGAAAAGAGACTCTCAGGAAATATTTTCTGGAGTTTTTTTTTTGTTTTGGTACTAGGGATCAAACTCAGGTCCTTGCACTTGAGAAGCAGGCTGTGGAACCACTGAGCTAAACCCCTGGCCCATGGGTTTTAAGTAGACGTTAGGAGAAAAAAAAAAGTATTCCAGACAGGAGGTAGGAGAGTGAGGTGACAGTCTTACCATGTGAAAGCAGCTTCTAAAGTGGGTCTTAGCCGAAAGTGGTGGCACACAACTGTAACTCCAGTACTAAGGAGGCAGAGGCAGGAGGATTGTTGAGTTCAAGGCCAGCCTGAACTACACCGTGGGACCCTGTCTCTAAAAATAAAAATGAAGAAGGAGTTCTTAAATCTGGCTGTGTGCCTTTCCTTGCCCTTATCCGGAAGCGCTGACTGAAATGTATTTCTGGTGTACCTTGGCGTTAAGGGGCGCCCTTAGTACACAATAAGCACCAAATTCCTTTGGGCATCTTCATTTGTCTTCAAAACTGCACCTGGTACCAGGCAAGTAGGGTTAGGGGCGGCGACAATATAATTAAATAAAGGCAGCACATCAAGCCTTTTAAGTGTATCAGAAATCGCACTAATACTATTATCTGCACGACCATTTTAAAAGGAAGGTCTTAATATGGCTTTTATAGATGGGAAAACAGGCGCAGAAGGGTTTTGACAACTTACAAAGCGCTTTGCCTACCTCTCTATCTCATATCTGTCTAATCCGCTGTCCCATCCTATCTCTTATCCCATTCCATCCTATCTTTTTTATCGCTAATCACATCTCTGGTAAACAAGGGCTGTAAATCACATCACCTACGCACCCCCCACCTCCAATCCCGGGCCTAGCGGGGAAGTCCCGCCCCGGGTGGAAGAAGTCCCGCCCCGGGTGGAAGAAGTCCCGCCCCAGGCTTCCGGTTCCGGTTCCGACGGTCCTGTCTGCTGTGGCGAGGTCTCCTATTAGGGATGGCTGCCGGAGACAGTAGTTGCTTGTTGGACACTTACTGTTCTCCGCTTGCCTCCCGCTATGCTAGCCCGGAGATGTGCTTCATGTTTAGCGACAGGAACAAGTTCCGGACGTGGCGGCAGCTCTGGCTGTGGCTGGCGGAGGCCGAACAGGTAACGAGCGCAGAGACAGGGGTGCGGACGCGTCCCAGCACGTGCCGGGAGGAGCACAGAGCCCGGGCTTGCGGCCTGGGCACAGCCCCAGGCTATTTTCGGCGGTTGTTAAGTGTCCTGAGGAGCTGTGGTCCCAAAAAGGCCTGGGCAGGATTCCCAGGCACCGCACCTGTTGCTCACATTTTTTTTTTTTAGTTCCAGAAGGCCTAAGACACGGAGTCGAGGAGAAATGCAATGTCGTTTCAGGCAACTCAGCTTGACCATTGCTGCAGACTTGCACGGCTAACCACAGATGCTGGGCTCAAGTGCCGTCCCACACATGGCAGGGAGGAAAACATCCTGGAGAACCGCGCGTGGTTTGCCCCAGGTCACACAGTGTAATAACGGGACTGGGTTTTGAATCTGGACTCCGCCTAGAGCTTGAGCCGAGCGCTTAGCCACTTCATCCACAGTGCCTGTGAAGTTAGGAAAAATGTAACCGGCACTGCAAAGTGGAACTTTAAAAGTTAGGTTTTATTCTCCCCCTCCCCTTACAACCACTTTTATAGTAAGATGGACAACAGGGTTTCGGTGCCGTCTGGAATTGCGTAAGCCACTTGGGGTTTAAGTGAGCCTTCTTTGTGAGCCAGGATAGAGCTCAAAGTTATTTATTTTTTTCTTTCTTTTTGGTACCGGGGATCGAACTCAGGACCTTGTTCTTGCAAGGTAGGCAGCGGGACCACTGAGCTAAAGTTCTGGTCCAAGTTCTTGAACCATTTGTCAACAAAAAACTTTGGATTAAGAATAAGACACTGGCGGTGTGTTTGATGAGGTCTGTTACAAACCGCTTAAAAATAAAAGCGCTTGTGCTATTTCGCGGCTCCCTAGAAAAGGTTTAGTTATCTGTGACTTAGAAAAAGGTAATTTTATTGTGGTAGAACATGGCCTGTACAACTGAAAGCATTCTCTGAGTTCATGGAGAAAGAATTATTCACAGCTAGCCCAGAGGGGATGGAAAGTCCTTCTGCCTCAGATCACCGTCTCATTTACAGGCGGGCAAGGGTCTTTTCCAGTAAGGAACAGAAAGGAGGGTGAACGTAGAGCTAATGCAGATCTTGCTTTGTCACTTCTAGCCTTCAGCTCATCCTCTCATAGAAAACATACCGTGCTCTTGGCCTCCTGGAGCTGGCATCTGCATATTCTGTTGCTGCTTTTGGACTGAACGGGTGGGTGTTGTTATGTGCTCAGCAGAAGGAAGTTTCGGAAAAGTTGCTTGTCTCTAAAAGAAAAAAACCTAACCTTTAAAGTTCCGTTTTGGAGTGCCCATTACACCACCACCAGAATCTGTGTTTTCTCAGCGTCACAGGCAGTTAATTAGGCTGAGTTTATACTTTGTCTTATATAAGGGCTGCAAATGCAGCTGCTCAGCCCAGCAGTTTTAGAAGTAGCTCCAGAGGAGCCTTCCCAGAGTTGAAGGAAACTGAAGGTGATCCAAAGAACGCTAGTGTTTCTTCTCAAATTTCACAGGAAGGTTGGGCCCGGGATTTAGCTCAGTGGTTTTGCCACCTGCCTTGCAAGTGCAAGGGCCCGAGTTCGATCCCAGTACCAAAAAAAGAATAACATCAAATTTCACAGGAAGGTGCCACCTCAAGCAAGGTGGCAGTGTGTTTGCAGATGACAAAGTAAATCTGGAAATTATCCAAATAGTGCCTGGGACCCTGATAACCTGCAACTTTTATACCAGATTCCCTGCCTGTGCTGGAAGCATCGAATCATAGGATGATTGCAGATGCTTATATAGCACCCTCTGTGACCCAGGCACTATTTGGGGGTGAGGATTGGACTCAGGTCCTTCCCACTGAACTATACCCCTAACCCTTCTTTAATTTGAGACAGGGATCTCATTAAGTTGCCGAGGCTGGGTTGGAAATTTCCATCCAGCTTCAGCCTCCCAGGGTGCTGGAATTATAGGCTTGAGCCATCATGCCTCACTGGGCATCTTTTTATTGAAATATTTTCTTACACTTCTTAGCTAGCTGGGAACCACACTGTTGTTGAAGTCATCTACGATGTTACTAGGGTCAGGCACTGTTTTTAATTTACATAGGAGTCAATATTCCCATACCTTAGGGGCTGGGAATTTAGCTCAGTGGTTCTGGCACCTGTATTGCAAGCACAAGGACCCAAGTTCAATCCCTGGTACCAAAAAAAAAAAAAACACATGCCTGAGGGATGTAATAAATTTTGTGTGTGTATGTGTGTTTCCTGTAAAAACAAATTTTAAAGAGACTATATTTGATGGCTCATTAATTCTTTTGGGGGGGGTGGGGGGGTTGAACTCAAGACCTTGCAGTTGTGAGACAGGCATCGTGCCACTGAGCTAAATCCCCAGCCTCGTTAATTCTTAAAACAGCCCATTGGGGTAAGTACTATTACTGTACATATTTCACAAATGAGAGAGTAGAGGCATAGAGAGATTGATTACTTTGACTCATGTAATAGGAGGAGTTAGTAGAAACAAACTGATTTGTTTCTTTGATGCTCCATTTTAGAGATGAGGATAATAGCACTCAGGAATACTTGGCCAGGATCACTGTGTGTTTTCAACCTGAAATTGTATGTGGAGTTGTCTACCTGGTCTACACATTGCCTGAAATGCAAACTGTTTTGGATTTGGATTACCTATTGATTATCTGTTAGATCAAACTTAGCCAGATAAATTATATTATGACTGAAGGCCGCGCTTGCTGTGTCCTGCTGTAAAAGAGGCCAAGCTTGCTGCATTTCAGCCACTGTGGCACAGTATGGCTCCTCACTCCCAACAATGGCAGCTCTGAGCCCTGGGCCAGCCATCAACAACATGCAGGGTAAACACAAAGCACTGAAGTTGAATTTTGCAAACCCACCTGTCAAATCTACAGGAAGGTTTACTCTGAATCCCAATACTACAGGAGGTCAAAACCCACGCATAGAATACAGTCAACAGCGTATGAAAAAGAACAAAAACAGCTTCTTATGGGTTTGGATGTTATAATATGGCATAGTGATTGCCCATGCATTGTTCGGTTTTCTGGTGCACTCTTCAGAGAGGGTGACTGTTGGATCTGTATGGAACTCATGTCTACCTCATTTGAGAAGTTTTACAAATATGTACACAGTGTATTAGGTGATGTTATTCCAGAAGAAATTTTAGGCAAAATCACTTTAGCAACTGTGAAAGCACTAAACTACTTAAAAGAAAACTTGAAAATTATTCACAAAGGTAGCAATATTCTTCTGGACAGAAGTAGAAATATTAAACTGTGTGACTTTGGCATCTGTGGACTCCATTGCCAAGACAAGAGATGCTGGATGTAGCTCCTACATGGCACTGGAAAGAATAGACCCTAGTGCATCTTGGCAAGGATATGATGTCCACTCTGATGTCTGGAGTTTGGGGATCACATTGTACGAATTGGCCACAGGCCAATTTCCTTATCCAAAGTGGAATAGTATATTTGATCCACCCAACACAAGTTGTGAAAGGAGATCCTCCACAGCTGAGTAATTCTGAGGAAAGGGAATTCTCCCCAAGTTTCATCAACTTTGTTAACTTGTGCCTTGTGAAGGATGAATCCAAAAGGCCAAAGTATAAAGAACTTCTGAAACATCCCCTTTATTTTGATGTATGAAGAACATGTTACGGTTGCACGCTATGTTTGTAAAATCCTGCACCAAATGCCAGCTACTCCCAGCTCTTCTATGTATGTGGATTGATACCACTACTAGATCAGACTCTAGAAAAAAACAGCTAAGAGGAAGCAAGACGTAAAGAATTTTAATCCAGTATCACAGTGTTTTTATTATTCGCCCACACACCGTGTTCATTTCCATCATGTCTGTCTACTCCTGTCACCTAGAACGTGCATCTCTGTAATACCTGATTGACCACTCAGTGTTAGTGCTGGCCAAAGACCACATCCTGCTCTTTGGTGATGAACATATTCATGTCATGTGGAAGTCAGTATGATCAAGTTGTTGACTGTGATTGGATCACATCTTAAATTCATTTCTAGGGCTGGGGATTTGGCTCAGTGGTTCTGCTGCCTGCCTTGTAAGCACAAGGGCCCGAGTTCAAACCCCAGTACCACCAAAGAAAAAAATTTTTTTTTTCACTTCTAGACTCAAAACCTAGAGACACACCTACTGGAATGGCATTTTGTTAGACTTCCAAATCCTGGAAGGATGCAGTGATGGATGTACTATGTCTGAACGTAGAGACTTGGACTTGAGTGAGAAAAGCTTGTACAGCCAGTGAGACATTCCCTTCTGGAGCTGGGAGACAAAGGAGGAATTTACTTTCTTCACCAAGTGCAACAGATTTACTGATTTGATACTCTGTTGCTTTACATTTACAGTCAATGTTTGGGAATCTATGTGCTCAGCCAGATTTCCTGTTTGAAATATCTGTTAAATGAGAATAAATTTATCTTTACGAAAAGTCATGTTGCATTCAAAGAGGTGAACATTAAAATATTGAGACAGGACAAAATGTGTTCTTTTCTCCTTTACCAGTCCTCCTACTCTTCATTGGAAGTCTCAGGAGTCTGCCACTTGTCAAGAAGGTGCTGATCCTAAGAATTTTTCATTCTCAGAATTTGGTGTGCTGCCAACTTGATGTTCTCTACCTGCTACAAACCACCAGGACTGAAAGAAGAAAAAAGTACAGAAGGAGAAGTTTACGGATGTTTCTAATTCT